TAAAAATCTTGCAAAATAATCTAACACGGTAAACTCAGGTCCTACCAGAGCCTCCGAAGAGATTCTCCCTACAGAAACGCCACAGAACCGACGACGCAGCAGCGCTCAGCGTCCTGAGCTCCAGATCCGCGCAAGGACGAACGAAGAGGAGCCTCCGGGCAGCCAAGCGCGACGGAGGAGGCCGACTTGGCAACATGCAAAGCCACGTGCCGGAGGGCGAAACGTCATCGCTTGGTGGCTGAAAAATAGAGAAAAGAAAGAGAAGAGAGCCGACAGCGAGCCAACCAGCGGCGTGGCTTGTGTTTAAAGCCACCTGTATGTTTTTTGGTCTTGCTGAAAAGGAATACTTTGAACCCTCTGATGTATCAACCCTGGGCTTCTTCGCTGTCGTTGTTATTCCCGTTTGGCTGCCTCTAGTTCAGCGTTTTTCAAACTTGGCAACTTTAAGACGGGTTGGACTTCAACTCCCAGAATTCCAAGTTTGGAAAACACTGCTCTAGTTGGTTGCCTTTACCCACAGGCGTCTGCTGGTTTTCAGATTATTTTCGGCACGTTATTCGCATTGCAATAAGGGAAAAACATATTCCAGGAGTAGAAGTGAGCCTGCCTATACAAATCAATGGAAAGATTAGAATGTTATAATAGTAGTTGTATTGGACTATTTTTAGCGAGAGAGTCCAATCAAATTGTAGGGGCAATTTAACTTGGGTCTCTTTTCCCCTATAACATATTGTTTCTTTTCCAGGCGTTTGAAAATAGTGCTTGCATTATAAATCCCACTGTCAACTGACTCCATTGTCTCCGACTGTGTTCGCGTGTGATTGCCCGTGCGTGAGAGGCTGCCGCTGCTCAAAACCGTGATCCGCCCCACGTATCGAGACAGGGCTTATTTCTAATTCCATTTGCCTTGTACGTGTTTGAACCCAGCCTTTCCTCCTCAGAAGTGCGAGATTTCGACTGCAATAATCCCCAACCAAGGACCAAACTTATAAGGGAATGATGGGACTCGGAAGGCCGACCCATTTGCAGGCACTACCTTGAGGCAGGCTGTTTTAAAAATTCAAACTGCCCTCTCTCGGGAATTCAACCTTGAGTTTTTAACGACGTCTTCGCCCTTCATCCTTTGACTTGGCTTCAGATCTTGTCATTGCTTCGTTCTTGAATTAGAGGTGGGTTTCGCCTTCCTCCCGCGGGTGATTTTTTTTCCTGGGGAAATTGGAACTCTGCTCTGTGGGCCACTCTTCCCTTTTCCTATCTCTATCGGCTGGCCGGTCCCCGGCGTGCGGAGAGCGAGGGCGCGCGAGGCGGCGGAAGGTATAGCGCGGAGGGGGAGGGGCGCGGAGGGGCTGTTCGGGGAGGGGGCTCGGCGGGCGTTTGACTCTCCGGCCTGCCCCGCGGGAGAGGCAGTCCGGCCCCTTGGCCGACCGAGCGGGCGGCGGGGCGGCGCCAAGGCCCGGGGGGGGGAGCGGAGGGGGCGGGGG